AGCACTTATACCCGCTCTGAAAAAAGCGTCGTTAAAGCGATGGACGTGTGCCAAATCGCCTACAAAGGAAAAGCGGGAACGTCCCACGTGACGGCTTACCCAACTGACCACAGGACACAAGAACTGGACAAAGGCGATTATATCATGAGGCTTTTATTTCTTGACCTTGGTAGCGCTTTGATGCTAGTTTCCCATGATCTGCCGCTAGACAAGCTCGAAACAATGGACTTCAATCCAGAGGTCATTCGATGGGTGGCGAACTGCTTTCCATGTAGCCATCAAATTAGCATGATGATGTCGGCGCCGCTAGGAAACAACGTGGGTGTTGTGCAAGGTTTCCCGCTGTTCTGATGCAGGATGACAAGTAAGCGGATGAAACGTCGGTAGGTGAATCTCTGAAGTCACGAAAAGACTGGAAACAGTACTCCTCAAACATGCATGGCTACTTCATTCCTAATAACTTTATCTTAAACACGGTTAAGTATGCTGAGTGCCACTATATAATGAAGAGTACGAGGAGACCTACGTTACCGAATGCCTCTGAGCATCAATTATCTACGCATGCATAAAACAACTACTCGTGTTACTAAACAACAACTTCTAAATTCTGACTTTTCATGGCACGAGCACATTAATTCAATATCCAGAAAATTCCCAAGAGTTTCTTTTTATGTTTTGTGGCTCTGGGACTTCCGTACATTTAAAGCAACTGTCAGATCATTTTTTCGTATGTATTCTACAGCCCTTTCCTTATGTTGCCTTGATAGTATTCCTGGAACTCCCTGCACGCGACTTCAAAATTATAAGAATGTCAAAGTCGTTGCCAGAAGAGCTGATCTTTATTAGAAAGATCTGATTCTGCCTGTAGATCAACAGACAATTACTGAAAGTTTTGCAGTGAGTGTTAGCATCTCATACAACAAGCAACATCCACTGCACAAAAATTGTCTAGATACATCTTAAGGAGTTCATCTACCAGACAGATATCTATACACGAACGGAACTTTACCACAGGTCCATAATCCTGTCCTTCGCCCCAATCCAAAGAGATCCAGATGCGTGCAGGTGGAACTATTTTAATATGCTTAAAGTGCAGAAATTTGTATCTCTTCTGTTTTCAATTGTTGTTCCTATCTGTCCCATTAATATGTTCGTTTCTTCTAGTCTTTTTAATACTGTGCAATACATTTATTACCTGTCTTCTTCTGTGGCACAAAAATGGAATTTCTTGAAGTTCTGTTCAACGAATAAGCTTAACTCAACGTCTCCGGAAATTTGAAACTTTTTCTCGGTACTCCTGTGTTACGTGTTGGCGTAAAGGATTGACTTCCCTAGCTTTCGCCTGTGCGATAGGTTCTCTGACCTTTGCAATGCCCATTTGGTAAGTTCACTGAGCGCCTTCAGTGGTTCAGCTTGTCTCCTCCACGTGTTGTACAATACTGTAAACAGCTCCACTGTTACCATCGCCCATTCTTTATTATGAAAAAGTTCAAAACCGAAATCAGGAGAACGAAATTGGCAAGAAATGTGACAGACATATGGAGATGGAGCTTGTCGAAACCACGATGTGTGTTGGAGTGACAGAGAGCAAGTTGGCAGATACGTGTGAGTCAGACATTACCATGTTCCATGTCTTTCACCTTTATAAAACTGACGTTATAAAAGGCGCTTTGCGCAACAAAACCCTTCACAAATACGTCGGCATTTTTGCTCGTAGAATCCGGGCATTATCCGAAACCGACGAACGATGACCTAGACGAATACAACCTATTTAGAACTGACAGGACATTAAGAAAAAAACGCCGTGAGAGCTGCGTTGCTTCATGGTGTTCAAGACCAATGCTGATTTTTGACTATGCTAAGGAGAACATCTGATGCCATGTTATAGAATTCCGCCAAAAATTCTATTTATAGTTAAGGAAAATTTACTTGGCTAACTGTTATATCGCTTCTAATTGCTCGATTGCGGCTTTCAACTCATCTACAGCTGGCTTTGATCCTCATGGAGGTCGTCTGTTCAGTGAAGGGAGTTTTCTTGCAGACATTGGCGGTTATAACACAAGATATTGTCAATGGTTGCTCTCAGCACTTGCTTCAGCGCTCAGTTCGACCAGATCTTCACCAAGGCAGCGGATTGCTACATTGCAAAACGTTTTGCTGCCTGGAAAACTCCGATCACTGCACCTTTTGGGTTGATCTGTACTTAACCGCCAAAGTCATGCAAGCAGCTGTCGAAACTATCCTTTATTCGTCGTTCAACATCTGAATCCAACATCGATCAAACATACTACTTCCTACAAAACACAGACTGGGAGTATGGTCATTCAGTCAGAAGACTTTCATGAATATGTAATTGCTGTCTCAACCCATCTAATTTCCAGATATATATAGCGCTGGTTAGACCTCGATAGTGTAAGAAAAACGCTTGAAACTTACGAAAAACATGAAAACAGAGTTATTACGATTATACAGGTGTTATGGTGACTGTTTAAGAACCTCAAGACCTAAACACCTGACAGAAAATAATAGCATTCTCAGCGAATGAAAAAATGGCAATGGAAACGGAAACGTAAACTCGATTAAATAGCTACTTCTGGAAGATGGGCTGCCAATCCTTGGCACTCCGTGAAGGTTCGTTGTTTTTGCTCACAACAACAACTTTGTTCTTCGATCAAAAAGCCTGACGTACGAGAAGGTAGGTAATTGTTTTTCCGCATTATGCCGCTTCGTAAACAGCAAGTTGGTTTCAAAGATGTGCAAGCATTCATCCTCTAGAAATATGCGCACGAGTTATGTCACCTGTTGGTCGAGATTTTCAACAACAGCCGGAACATAGAAAACATTGCGAAATTGTGGCGCGTCGCAGCGATCACCAGTGCCCCCCCCCCTCTCCAGGAAATCGACGTCTTTCGTCGCAAACGATTTCCGTCCGAGTACTCATTTACTTAATATCAATTCCCTTTAAAAGCAGGGAGATTGACTGTAACCAAAACTTAAGAAGCAAGCAGCTTCGCTAGCGGACCCTTGCCAGTTAGCCTACAAACAACACAGAGGCCGTGTTGATGCCTTGGTATATTCAACGAATGCTCTTGTCGAAGGCCCTGACAAAGGCGACTGCATAACCCGTTGCCTATTTCTCAACTCCAACAGTTCGTTTAAAATCGTGCGCTGTGAAAAGGTTATAGCAATTCGTTGTACGGGCCAACCGACGCAAATGTTCTACTCTACCAAATAATTTCGGAATTCTTGACGGATTTGTCCTATCATTGCTGCCCTTTACAGTGGCATGCAAAGTCAACTTTCAAAATATTCAAAATATAATTTGCATAGTATCGGTCAAAGGAAAATGACTTATTCACTAATCACGGCAAAGCCAATAAATATTGAAGAATATTATGTCTTCTAAAAAGGTTACAATCCGACTGAGGCACCGATGTAAACTTAAATTTAATACGTAATTTGCTGAAATAAATGCTTATTCTACTTACTAGGTGGAATCGGGGACACCTAAAGAATTTTACCTCATTATCGGCTGCAGTTTGGAACCAACATCTCAAACATCTGACACCAGGTGAGAGCCTAGTGATACAAGTAAGGTTTCCTTATCACAATTACTGAGCATGTTGCTAATTAGATGTTAGCAACTACAATGTAAATCAGAACAGATGAGATTTCTCCTAGATCTGCTTACACGCATCGGAATCGCCCACTTCGGTAGCCCAGCCATGTGTTAGGCAATAAAGCGCTTAGGGCTGAAACTGTTCTTGCAACATTCAGCCTTTCAAACTCTTTCGACCGGCTGAAGTAATGATAGAGGTTAATGGCACGTGCAGATGAGGTTGAAGAAGTTTGTTCTCTGAATTAGGTCGCTTACCTCACAACAACCTTCAATTTAATTCTTGTACCCAATACTTCTACTAAGGGCTTTCCAACATACTCTACCGTGCATCTGTAACTTCGGCACCAGTATCAGGAAGTAGGCAACCCAGCCAGTCTGCAGAAGGCAGCAAAATGGATCGACGACCATGCGATGCGGCCGATGCATGTCAATGATTGCATAACGAAGGAGTGAGCGGAAAAGATCTTCCTCAGAAGATGCAGAAATAGAGGTTTGGTTCTAGGCAATACATCCCCGGGAGCCAACACTAGCAGAATTGTGAGTGTGAGGTGTGCGGGGGACCTTTCAATAAAATAAACTTACCTTTTCACAAGGTGACGAAACTATAGCTGCCTCAGAACCCAAGCTACGAATCCGGTTCCAGTAAAGTAAAGACAAGTAAAGTTCATCGTCCAAAAGAGAGAATACCGCACTAAGCTGCGCCCTTGCTGCAGGTAGTTCACCTCGGTAAGATGCAGGAGCGTTGCGGATCTTGCTCTGAATTTGAGAGTGGTCATTGGCATAGAGCACAAGGACAATAAACGCATGGATTTCAGGCTCCACAAGCATTTTAGTAATAAATCAACCAACTATCTCCTCCCCTCTATTTCGCTGCGAAATCAAAGCATAGACAAGGTTTAAAACCATCTTGTGGCACCGTAGTCGAAAGTCTATACTTAAGTTTACACACAGAAAAAGTAGTCATAAAAGTACGACGGTGTAGCAATTTTTTTAAGCATTCCACCTCAGTATAAAGCCCAAAGGAATCAAAAAAATTTTTTAAGAGCCTGTATGTTTCTTGCAATTGCATATGCTTCAATAATATACCTCGTCTAACATCGTGAAATCAATCTACGCAAATTTCGATCAATCCGAAAATTGTTGGCAGAGCAGGTCAGCTGTCTTACGTGAATATCTTAAACGTTATGGTAGATCGAACAGTAAGATCCCTTGCAGATGTTCGAAACTCTGTTCTAATCGATCCATATCATCCCTTTCAAAATGCACTTCGAGGTCTCATTTCACAACGTCTCAAAATGTGAGGATCTAAGTGAGGATTGAAGCATACAGAAAATCTGTAATCCCGCAGATATATAGGACTACGCGGAAAAAGAAACGAGAACGGCTGAAACTGCTTTAATCGATCCTTTAATCTATTAAGCCTATGTATTAAGATATTCATCAGCATTAACTTTTTACTTTCTGAACCATCTGTTTCTCCTTCATCATTACTTGTTCTTAGTCTGAACACTGCGTATACTGCCTGTTCTTGTGCGTTATATGCATATTGTTAAACAAATGGTCAGTGACTGCTGAAATGTTAGACCGTGCTAGTCTTCGTGCTATTTGCCATAATTTAAACATTAAATTCTTTTGATTGATCGATTGAAAGGTAAGTGTAAATGGTTTGAACCCAAAACAATCTCCAGATGATTTCTAGATTTGCTGAAGACCTACTTGCTACAGGTAGCAG